CAGTCGAAGTCCAGACATTGCGATTCGTATTGAACGTTGTTCCGACTGCCGTTACAAACCGGTTCACAACAAACGTGCTGAAGCGCTTTCGTTCATTGGTAGCACACTGGAGAACTATGTCGGAATCAGTCCAGTAGGTTGCGGTCCATTTAATCGAGTTAAAACATCTTTTAAGCACCTTCGCTACCCTCACGGCTACTACTGCTGCGGCCAGTTCTAACCTGAGTATTGAGACTGCCTTTAGGGGCCTAAGCGACTGGTATACTGCTATTCGTCCTTCCGCCTGGCCGAGACGAGCAACTGTGAGCCACCACCCCGTATCCCACCTCCGACACGTCCGAAAAAACGTGTAACTCACTTTGCTCTCCTTTGTGTATTCCTGGTATGGAACGAGGGAGTCGTATATCGCCCAGCTTGGACAGCCTCAGCCACCAGCTTTGCCAGGTCTTGTGATCCACCTCGCATAGGGTCTCATCCCAAGTACCCTATTTTCTACNGTTGGTAACGGACCCCCCTGCAATTCACGGAGACTCGGCGCCCGCTCATCAACCGGGACGCAATCGATTGCATGACGGCTGTTGGACATCCACTTGGTCAACTTGAACCCTCCCATGAGCAGTAACTTGGATAGATCCCTAATGTGTCGAACTGCTTCCTCGATGCTATCAAAGGATCCCAGGAAGTCGTCCACGTAAAAATTATGTTCAACACAGGAGCCCACCGGGGTTTCGAAATGCTGAGCAAATCGATTCATGGTCGTTTTTAACGCGAAGTTTGCACAGAAGGGAGAAGATATCGCGCCAAACGGGTGCACCGTCATCCGATACTCCTGGGCAGGTCCGTCTAGGTCTCCATCCGGCCACCACCACAACCGTAGCGCATCCCTTTGCCCTTCGGGAACTTTGACCTGCATGAACATCTCCTCGATATCAGCCGCTACTGCAACTGACCCCAGACGAAATCTGCACAACACCTCAATCAGCGGAGTAGTCAGGTCTGGGCCTTGTAATAGACGGTCATTTAGGGCAATCCCGGCACACTTGGCAGCACAATCGAAAACAACCCGAATCTTCTGAGGTTTCTTGGGGTTTATGACAGGGTGGTGCGGAAGGTACCACAATGGTTGCTCCTTCTCGATTTCTCCCATTGCGCGTTCGATATATCCCAACTCTAGATTGCGTTTCATGGCGTTACAGTAGGCTTCCTTTAATTGCGCGTTCCTCTTTAATCGACCCTTCAGGTAGTTGAGCCTGTGGAGTGCTATTTCTCGATTGTCTGGTAGTTGGTTGGATCCCGTTCGCCAGGGTAACGGCACTTCAAATTGGATTCCGTTGTGTCGTGCCGTTTGGGTGACGACGGTTATAGCTGCTCGGTCTTCCCTCGACATAGATACCCGGTCGTCTGCTATGTCGCCGAATTCGTGATTGTAAAGCCGTTCCAGATCGTCTCCTATGGAATAACCTGGCCGCCAGATGAAGTTGATCGAGGCTGAATAATTACCATCATTACTGAGCGGCCCGCAGAGTATTTAACCAAACATCGTGCGCACAGCATACGGAACTCTACGGGCTCCGATCCTTAGGTCCAGAACCCAATGCGCCTCGGGTACATCACAGCCGATCAATATGTCTACTCGGGTGTCCAGAACATCCTCGAACGGCAGATCGTGGAGGTGAGGCCAGCGCCGCGCTAGCGACCGGATACTTTCGGAAGCTCTCATTGGTAGTTCGGCAATAGTAAATGCGTGGTGCACCTTTATCGTATCTTCCCCCGAAGTGGGAGAAAACTTCAAACTCAGCTGAGAAGCTCGAACTGCTCGTGCCCCATTTACCGTGCTGATTATCACTGAGGTGTTTTGTTCAACCAGGTCGTGTTCTCGCGCAAAGCTCTTTCCCATGAGAGTGGCATCTGATTCATTGTCTAGAAACGTCACGGCTTGTACCATGCCATGCGGAGTCTCCACTTATATGGGCATTATTCCCAAGCGGACCGGCCCACTTGACACCCGTCCGATGGTGCAGACAGATTTTGGTGTTTCCCCGCAGAGTGTTCGTCGGCTCTGTCGACCCGGACATTATTTGTTTGCTGCTCGAATCTTCCATCGTGGTTTAATAAGGGGTTATGCCGAAACCTGCAATCGTCTTGACCACAGTTGGTTCGATTTCTGCAAAGGGTTATTCTGTGGGTATCACTCAGGCACACAGAGCAGGACCCTGTTTTTTATCTATTGTCCAACGGTCCATCAACTTCATCGCCAAAATCTCTGGGCATGTGACGAGCTTGTGGACACCTATGCACACTTTGTACTTAATCGGTCTTTGTGGGTTATATGAGATTAAGTTGGTGCTCACCCATTGGTGTGGGGGATGGAGACTTCGAGATTCAGATGTTACAAAGCTGGTTGAAGGTCTAACGGTCCTGATGCTTTCCCCCGCTAGTTGATAAGATCTACTGTTCGCTATGCGAGATTGGGAACCTATAAATTCATTAAGTTCGTCAAATGTCGCCTCTGATATTTTTCTCGATTCGATCGGCCTCGGTCGCCCAGGCTGTCTGCAGTTCGGCAAGCAAACATCTGACCATCGATTCCCGCGTATGAAAAGCATTCAAGTCCGACCGATATTCGAGGTGGTTTAGAGCTATGCTGCAATTCTGCATCTTGATGACCAGATTTGATAGAGACCTAGTATCGCCCCGTGTGCGCCTTGCCTCTGCTAGCCCCCCCGTCAATCAAGTTTCGTGCCACTCGGATTGGTTGGCCGAACATCTTCTTCAGTATATTCCTGGCTCTGGGGTAGCCCACTCCCGGGTCCAGAATTGCGCACCCTTGTATGGCTTCTTTGGTCTTTCCCCGACAGTAGTGTAGCAAAAACAGAAACCTTTGCCCTGCATCGTCGGTTTTGCATTCAACGAAATTTTCGTATTGGCGAATGAATTGGCAATATTGTTCGGGATTGCCGTCAAAAGGTGTCGGTTAGACCCTTGGCAAATCGACGTTCAAATGGACATACGTTCTTCTCTAGTTTTCTAGTGTGATTCCAATTTGAGTACTGTACGTCAACCAATTCGCACTTGCGTGACGCGAAGCCAAAACCGATACGAATCCCGAAGTAAAAACACAATTGATCCGCGATGTTCAACGGTACTGAATTAACGAAATCATTACAAAATGTACAATAAAGCAAACCTCAAATATGCGGCCAAAAGCACTCAAACAAGCGAGCCAAATAAGATGTCCAGAGAGAGGCAAACAGTCGCTCCCTTTCTGTGACCACGCAAAATTCAAATGTGCCGGGCATCCAAATTAACAGATAAATAATGATGTGTGGTTTTCGTGATCGTGTAATATCGATATAAGAGCAACACACAGATAAAGTTATTTCACCATAAATCATCATAGGTTCGGAAGGATTTTCAAAATTATCAGCATGAATTACACTAGGTGTGAGTCTAGCAGGGTTCAGTTCAGTTCAGTTCATTTCAGTTTGCACAGGACTAAAGTGGTCGAGACCAATCATGCATCTAGATCCTTGTGTTATCAGCTAGTTGACTTGGCTTCCAACACTGCTCGTGAAACCTTCGTTCTTCTATTTTTCTGAAAGGCAGAAGTTTTATGTGCAGGATCACACCCACCAGATATGTATAAATGAAATAAATATATATAGAAACGAACTTGCCTCGTTCCTTTATTGCCTATCAAGTAACAGATTCGGAAATACCACGTCCCAGCACAGATCCAGGCCTTTTTAAAGGCCACCGCAGTTGAGCAGCTTATGACATTCTCTGGTAGTCTGTTCCACAGAGGCACCACACGGTTCTTGAAGAACCTGGCCCCCAACTCCATTTTGGAGTGCTGTCGTTGCAGCTTAAGGCTATGATCTCTAGTGCCACAATCTGGAGCAGGAAAGACGAGACTGCTTAGTTCTATGCCGGACAACTCGTTAAATATCTTGAAGGTTTCAATCAAGCCACCCCTGGTCCTTCGGCGTGACACCTAGAAAAGATTCGTCCTGCAAACGCTGCGAGTAGCTCTTTCCTACCTGTCCAGTGATCATTCTTGTTGCCAATCGTTGTACTCTTTATAGACACTCCATATCTTTGCGATAGTCATACCTCGTAGCGCTGCGCTCCCGGTTGAATCTACATTAGTAGTCAGTAGCTGACACTTGGCAAGATTCAGGGGTAAATCTCATCGAGCCGACCAGCTGCGGACTGCAGGTGGAGTTCACAATCTCTAGTGAAAGTTTGTTTCATTCCGAGATGACCCTGTGCGTAAAGAAGTTGAAGCGAATGAAGGTTCTGGGCGGGTGTTTGAATAGTTTTTGGATGTCTCCGTAAATGTTCCAGGCTCGAGCGTGTAAAGAAACGGTCAACTTGGCCTAACGAGAAGAGGTTTTGCAGAAGAAGAAGGTCCCCTCTGATACGTCGTATATCTAGAAGGAATAGATTCAGCTGTTGTAGCCGGATGGGATAAGGGATTTCTGACAAGCCATGTAATAGTTTCGTGGCCCTTCGCTGCAAACGTTCTAGTGAGTCGCGGTCGTTAATGAAGCCAGAATGTACAACTTGGCTGCCATATTCTAAAAGATGGCCTATGTATGTTCCACAGAGGAAAGGAAAATCATCTTTGGTTATACGCGGGAAAGACCGTTTAATAATGTTTAAGTTGCGAAAAGCGGTTTTACTGACTTTTTGGTTGTGGGAAGAAAACTAGAGATTGCCATTCAGCCAAAAAAACAAGTATTTTGTGCTGATCCACCAGTTGTATTCGGGTTGAACCGTTTACCCAGAAAGGTTGAACAGGAGTGTTACCAAAGGATACGCTTGCACATTTTCCATCATTGATCGGTAAGCTCCAGTCGACCGACAAATGTTTGGTTTGGTCAATCGCCGACTGCACTTTGTATGTGTCTGTGCCCCAGATAGTGACAACATCCGCGTACATGGCAATCTATGCAGAGAACTGTTTAGGAAGATCAATAATATATAGCAGAAGTAGGATGGAACCTAGTACGGAGCCCTGTGGGACTTCTATTGAGACTGGAGAGAATGAAGAAACGGCTATGCCTATTCAAACCGCGAAGGAGCGGTTCGACAGAACGCTAGTAAGTAGGGAAGGCAATNGCCATAACCCTCTGGTTTGTACAGGTGAGGAATGTATGGCACCCTGTCAAAGGCTTTGCCAAAATCTATAAAGATCGCGTGCGAAATATGACCTTCGTCAAATACTATCCATTACGGTAAGCATGTTCGAGATGCATGACTTGTTTGAGAGGGAGCCGTGTTGGAAAGCATCTACCAAACCGTTCTTAGTTAGATGCCTTAGAATACGCCGTTTAGGGAGGCGCTCGAAAATCTTACTGGGAATGATGGTTTGGCTGATAGGCCTATAGCTAGCGGGCAAGTGGCGATGACCTTTCTTATGGATAAGGATAACAGTTGCTCTCTTCCAATGTTGTGGAAGGGTTCCT